ATATTACTATTTTACCTCTACATGTTTGTTTACTTTAAGCATTTTTCCAATCTGAAATGCAATTTTTAATTGTCAATTAGTTTTAAGTACATAAAATATTAACTATATAATTTTTGAACTCACTATTATGTTCTTTCATTTTTCCTCAGTGTCTATGCTTTACATCTAACTCACTGCTTTTACTACAAATAGCTGTTGGCTCAGATGACAGCCTGTAGCTGACTTTAAAACAGATGACAACAGTCAACTTACTCCACAACAATTTTTTTATTGCACCTAAACATAATTTTATCTTTTAAAGCCAAATCTTGTTTTCTTCAAAATGTTACTGTTTTTTCTAATTTTTATCATATATTACTTTATAATATATATTTTTAAACATCTTCTCTTTTAATTCTATTAAACAATGTTTGGACTTCTTTTTTCTCCATTTTCCTATGCTTCTTTTCCTTTTCAAAAATTAGCATTTTTGTCTCTTAGATTTTCCTAATTAATTTTTCTTAAAACTTATTTTCCTTAAACATTTGATCATTAACTCTTTAATTAATCAATATTCATTAAATTTTTCCTCTTCTCTAGTTTTTTCTTTACTCAAATTATTGACTTATCTATTTTTGATTCATAATGATTTAGTAAATTTATTTCCTTATTAATATATCAATTTATCTCCATATGTAGTTAGTTCTATGCTTCAATTTTTAAATTTCTTAGTATTTATTAATATAGCTTTCAGTTGTATTTTTATTAACACTTTTTTATCTGTTAAATCTTATTCTATCATGTATATTTTCTTATTTCATTTATCTTATTACATTACTTTTATAATATTTCTATTTATTTAATACCTTATAATATATCTTTACTTTTTAGCTTCTATCTGTCCTGTGAAACTTTTGTTCTTAAAATAGACAGATTCTTACCACTCCTGAAGCAGACCTTCTTCCAGACTGTCGACATGTCAGGAATTTCAGTCACCTCTCTGCCTATAGTTCATACTTAAAAACACTTCAAACACACAGAGCTTATTCAGAAAAATGTTTAACTAGTATATATTCTTCTTTTCAGTCTGTGTCTTTCAAATGCAATATGATCTCAATTAATTTTATGAGGCTTAAACCTCCTCTGTATCACAATCTCTTCCCTAAACTGCATCACTCTCTATCTTATTGTTCTTAAATCACACAACATATGCAGTTTTTCTTTTATATTATAATATAAAATGATCATTCTTTTAAACTCACTCTTATTGCAACCATACTTCTAAACACAATCATACTTCTCACTCATCCTAACCTCATCTCTTACACTGTGTAACCTGAACCTCACCTCTATTCTAGTCTCTCTAGATCAAAGGTGATAGCTTCTAAGCACCCCAGCAACACAGACAAATACACAAATACTTACAATTACATAAATACACCTCACTCCTCTTGAGTGACCTGTGCGAACAGCCTCTAACCTTAGAGCTATAACCACAGAATTCTCCACTACACTCCTCTTGAGTGACCTGTTACTTCTGCTCCCGTCTTTACTGTTCTTCAGTAAAAATAGCATTTCACAGGATTTGTGCCTTTTTTCCCCCAGCCTCCTGAATAATAATATTTATCATTATTAAAACAGAACGGGTACTCCGAGGTCTTTGCGCGCTTCTCTCTACTTTATTAATCTGCTTTAATCTCTTAACTGTCACCACACTTTAAGAACTTCCTCTTAAAACTTATAAATGCTCTATGCATAATCTTCTTCATTAAAAAATTTCCCAAACATGAGTAACAGTTACTAGTTAACGTTTATCCTATCCGTCAAGGCCCTCTTAGGAAAACACAGATCATTTGCATGCAAATTGTTATTTTCTTCTGGCATTCAAAACCCCATTGTTTTCCTTTTATATCTTTACTTTTACTTTTTTAGTTTTACTTGTAGTTCGTTATAGCTGGAGAAACAGTTCAAGTGACTTTTTACCATTACAAGCAGGTCCTTGGTAGAAAAAACACAAACGTATAAGCGAAAATTGCTTACCGTTTTTTATCGTGGCCACATATTTGTGTTTTTCCTCCAAGCCCCAGCATGTCCAGTGTCACCTGATCGTCTCTTCTCAGCCCCACGATTTTGGGCGGCATTTGTTGTAAATTCGACGTCTAATCAATTAGAAATTATCAGACCAGAGGTTTTGAATATCAGAAAATAGACTTTATTCTCCATAATAAAGCCGAGAAAGAGCAGAGCAGACCCCAGAGCATTCTGAAGTCTCTCCTGGACCTTCTGAAGTCTCTCCTGCACCTTCTAAAGTTTCAGTGTGTTTGTTACAATTTTTATACAGGATTATTTGACACACCCCTAAGTCTCTTTTTAACTCTTGACCATTTTTGAATAGGTTTCTAGTCTAAGGGGTCCTGCTATTCTTGGCTCTCAGCCCACTAGCTCATGTCAGCAGAGATGTTACAGGTCTATGTCAGCAAAGTATAGATGCAACTTATGCAAAAGGATTAAGTGTTTACATACATTGTTATGATAGGATAATAACTTGATAATATGTTACTCATTCTAACTTCTAAAAAAATATAGCTTCATACAAGTATTTAACATATATGATCAGTGCTTTACATATTCAGTTATTCTACACAATCAGTCACTCAGCCTTCTCCTAGTGTTGCTCCTGTAGGCATACTCATCTTACACAGACATATCACTGTATTTTTAACACACGCTGGCATGTTTGCTGCAAACACTACATACATTTTGTGAAGAGAAAATTAACTGCTTTACACTTAGAAAATACTTCACACTAAGAGAATAGAAATCATCTTCACGACCCCTTGTGGTCGATTGTGGCTGGGGTGCGGGTGTCTGTCTGTGCGTCGGTGTGTGTGCAATTGTGTTGAAAGCATAGAATTGTGTAATTCTCCTCACAGCTGATTGACATTTAAATAGCCCTGTGGATTAATTTCGTTGTTAGGATTAAGTGATATGTCTCTATTTTTTTTTTAGTTTGTTATTTTTGAGCAGATCGGTGGTTAGAGCTATGTCTCCGGAGCACGCCGAGGTGTGACAGAATCGCCAATATAATTGGTTGTTGTTTTCAGCCTGCGGTATTTGGTGCATAAAAACCCACCACTGTATGCTTGAAGACTAGGGTCTACTTAGTTCGATTTATGGATAGGTATAGGTTGCATAATTAATATACAGGGCGCAAATAAGTAAGTGGCAAATAATATAATCTGGGTAGTAGTACTACATTTATTGATTTATCTTTATTTCTGTAGTTTTCAATAGCATTGATTGAAACATGGTGTCTGGGCGATGAAACCGAGTCTGTGGCTGCATTCCAGTACAATTTTTATGCTCTTCACTCACTAACTTCCCTCCGTCTTGTTCACTTGGATGTGCATCATTGATAACATCCCACAAGTGTCCACTGCTGTTGGAGCATCTGAATGTGTTTAAATTGAGTGCCCTAAAACCTTGAGCACTTGGGAACTAGATTGTTGTGACATCACAATCTTGTTGCATTCTGGGACATTTAGGTGCTGGAGTGGATATATGAACCTGACTCTCTCCCTCAGTCAAAATTAAGTGATCGAGGATATGAGTTCCCTCATTCATTGATGAAGTAGAGCATACTTTAAAATGGGGACAGGAATTCCCCGTCTGAACAAGCGAAGGGAAGTTTGTGAATATGTGCCTAAACGTGGACTGGAAGGCAGCCAGTGTCTTGAAAAGAAGACACAGACTCTTGTGATAGTTATGATCAGGGCTTAATTTGGGCCAGAATAACCCGGATCTGGAACTTTTGAAATCTGATTCGGCACATCATTTAATATATCCCCTTCCTCGCACACACTCTCTTACTCGCTGCTCTTCACTTTCTTCCGCGACTCCCCAACCCTCTTCACTTTCGCCCGCAACACCTCTCCCTCCACTGATAACATGCAGGATTAGTTACCCCGACCTGTTCTGGGACCTCAAAATTGAAGTACTGGTAATGATGACAAAAGACACATATTTGTGTGTGGTATTACAACTAATTAATGCTAAAGCTACTGCAAATTATGTATTTTTAAATGCAAATGACCATTTAAACCTCACTGTCTACTTTAAAGATGGTGGTTCACATAGATGACATTCAGGAAGTCTCCATGGAGGACCCAGTTCATGATGTGCTGGATTTTTCTGAGACATTGATCTGCCACTGACCTGTTATAAGGTCCAAGTCATGGAAGATGTAATTGGCCATCAAGCATCTATAGTGTACCACGATTCCTTGAAGCAGTTAGCCCAATAATTGCTTTTGCCTGTCACAATGTTTAGCGCTCATGATTAAAACACCAAGTTACAATGTGTAGCTTTTTGGCCTTAGTGTGACATCCAGGATCTTAGCGATATTATTGAATAGGTAAGAATTAGTTGGTTTTTAATGTATTACATGTCTTGTAGGGATAGTAGAAAGTGTGTCATGCGTGTTATATTTTTCTATTTTAGATATGTTCTTCAGGTCTTCATAGCCAACTTATAGATAAGGTAAGCTGTTAGGTGACTTCATGTTGGCCACCAACAAACTTTTGTCAAGAAACAACGTATTTCTTCTCTTAAGGTTAAGGGGAATGGACATAAGACATTACATTTTTCTTTAAAACACAAGACACCTACCATATTGATAGCATCAAAGATGTTTGGCTTTCTAAGAGAGGCCATTTCATCCTTGAATTACAGCCAAATTGCCAACTGAGTAAGCTGGATATGCATTCACTTCCACGTGTAACCCCACCAGACCTACGCTACCCAACCCACTCCAAGCTGATATCGAACCGGCGACCTTCCGCATGGAAGTCGGTTGCTCTACCAAGGAGGCTAAAGACCATGGCCTCTAGTGTCTGTCGCTAGAGCACCTTTAAAGGTCAGAGAAGTGAGGTTTACCTGCACAGCACTTACTAGCTGGCCTCCGTTACACTCACCCCCCTAAACCTCCCATCCAGGTCACGGCACCAATGTAACCCCAATGGTCCTACACCACCCAACCCACTCCAAGCTGGTATTGAATCGGCAACCTTCTGCATAGGAGTCGGTTGCTCTAACAAGGAGGCTAAAGACCACAGCCTCTAGCGTCTGTCACTGGAGCACCTTTACACATGCATAAGCAAGTAACTTAACAAAAATTATGATTGAGTTTACAAAAACACTTTTCCTCTACATTATCTACATTTGTAGGAAATGCTAGGGAGTGCCATGGCTGAATTTCTGTGCAAGTACACCCCTGCTGTATACAGTTATATCATTGGCTGACAAAAATGTTGCAAAAATTAGCAAAGTTTATTTATGGCCAGTCTGTTCCCTCAGTTGTGACTGTATTAACAATGATCATTCGCAGGTATTTAGATTAAGTATTCGCCTATATTATCTGATTCAGTTTGCAGACAATGTGAGATTATGAGCAACATTAAACTCACCATCCGAATTCAAAGATTTAACTCTTAAACTGACAGCATCCCACAATAGAAATGTTCATTTAGCTTGTTTATGTCTGTTATTGAAGCACGCAGCGTTTTCCATGATTCTTCTCAAAGTTGTTAATGTTTGCAGCATTTCGGGCTTCAATTCTCTTGACTTCTGCAGCATACATGTCAGCGGTCTCCTTGTACTTTCTCATGGCCTCGTCCAATATCTGCCTGCAATCCTCCATCTCCTTATAATGCTGAGACAGAAGTTCTTGCTCTTCATTTTTCTCATCTTTAGAGATTTTAGGTGAATCCTCGCTGGTTTGCTGATCAGTTGCTGTATGTTTGATCTTTTCTTCATTCTCTTCGACACTTGAGACTTCTGTTATTTTACATTCTTCTAACTGTTTTTCAAGCTTTTTCCTTTTCTTTTTGCCTCTTTTTAATGACTGAAAACCTTTCCATCGCTTGTGTTTCTTGAGCTCTTTATTAGATTCTCTTCCAGCTTCTGGCATTTCTCTGTCCACACCTGTTGTTTCTGAATGCTGATTTTCCTGCTTTTCAATCTGATCATCATTCTTTCTCTCAGCATGTGCTGTAGGTTCACATTGATCCTGTGTTTGTGCAGTCCCGGAGGTTGCTGCGGCTTCTCCTGTTTGCCTCATTTTAAATTTTCTCAACAGTGCATGTTCTGTCTCCATGACCAGAAGATCTCTGACCTTAAGCTTTCCCTTTTCTTCCTCTAGCTTTTCTTTGTATTGTTTGATTTCAGACTCATATTTGGCTTTAAGGGCCTCCATTTTCTGTCTGACCTCCTCCTCTTTTTCTCTGTTGATCTGCACGAGTCTCAGTGCTCTCTCTGCCTCCTGAAACATTTTATCATTGTAGAAACTAGATTTATTATCCCACATCATCTTATCGATCTTCTTCAGCAGACCTACGACCTGAGCAAGGTCCTTCTGTTTATTGTTGAACACGTGAAATCTTCCTCCACAGTCGTGGATCAGCTGTTTGACATGTGAATCTCCATCTTCAATGTAGTCTTCAATAGAGTCATCCAGATTGTCTCCTTTGGTGAAGAGCACCATGGCGTAGCTCTTGGCGTTCTGTCCAAAGGTCATCTTGATGAGCTCAAGGGTTTCTCTCTCCTCTTGTGTGAACGGGCCGATAGAGATGAGCAGCAGAAACACATGTGGTCCAGGAGCCGAGAGCTCAATGCACCTCATGATCTCCTGCTGGATCACTTCATTACTAAGGCTGGTGTCAAAGAGTCCTGGTGTGTCCACTACTGTCACGGGTCGACCACAGGCAATTCCACTTTCTCTTTGACACATCTTGGTAATAGAGGTCATTCTGGCCCGAGACTCAAATGCACTGCGTCCCAGGATGGTGTTCCCGGTTGCACTCTTTCCCACTCCAGTTTTACCAACCAGAACAATCCTCACACACTCCAAGCTCTTCTCAGTGCCGACGGAGGCTGTGAATTACACAAATGTGTGCTGAATTGACCTTATAATCAGAAGCTTTTTTATAGACAGAATATTGTTTTAAACTGGTCCAATCATGCAACTTTCTCTAGTGCAGGGGTGCTCAATTCTGTTCCTGGAGATCTACCTAAACAAACTAAGTAGGATCTGAATGAGCACTTGGTAATTAAAGACAGGTGTGCTTGATCAAGATTGTAGCTGAACTCTGCAGGAAATTAGATATTCAGGAACAGGGTTGAGCACCCCTGCTCTAATGCATAATGTGATTTGTTTGATGTTGCTGTAGTATCTGAAGCATGAGCTGTAAAGGCTCTTTTGGAAAGGGGGCAGAGAGTAGCAGCTTATTTGCATTTCAAGTGGCTTATATCCCACCAATAAGGGGTATTTACAGTATGGTATAACAGATAACCCGGAAGGTATTGTGGTTCTGGAGACACTTGAAAATTCAGCTGTATGTTCTTTAAAAAAGCATAATTGGACCACTTTAACAAAGATTAAGTGTCTTCTGCACAAGATGAATCTTAATATGGAATTTTAAAATTGAATTATTTTAATAGAAACATGAAAAGCCTGCTAAAATACTCACAAAAATATGTCAGTAATCATCAGCATTGTGTACTCACATTTTGATCGCACTAATTTTCTGGGATTTTCTGATTTGGGCTGAGACTTCAGTGTAATGGGTTCTAAAGATGTAGAACATTGTTAAACAATCATGCATGAAATATTCTGAACAGAGGATCATGAAAAATATAGCAACATAAGAAAAAGCTGATTGAATCTGTTTTATCAGAAATAGTAAAAAGCAGATTGTTTTATTTTGTGAAAAGCATTTTTATGTTAGTCTATGTTAGTACTAATAATTAAGTCTAAAAATATTGTTCTATACTTGACCAAATTGACAAATGCATGAATGGGTTGATTGCTAGTTCAGATATTCTGACAATGCTAAAACTGTTATGAGCTAAAACTGAGTCTGAGTTCCTTAATGAGATAATGATTCATGGATATTTTCAGTAAGCTGAAAGTATTAAGAGAATGCATAATACTATACATATATGTTACGCCTCCAAGAACTATCTTATCATGGTGGAGGGGTTTGAGTAGCTAAATGATCCTAAGAGCTATGTTGTTAAAGGGTAATGCCTCTGGTAGGGTGCAAAAAGTTCCAATGCAAAAAGTTCTTAGACAACAAGTCAGACTGAGTGCAGTTTAAAAATCTTTTATGAAACATTAAGGACTGCAACATTGCCTGGTTTGTTGCAGCCGGGACCCCAGCCTGGGGTTGGGGCTCGTATTTTGTGTGATAAAACCCACTCAGACTCAGCCTGAAAGAGTGACGTGGAACTATCCTCCTGCAGTTCCACTACCTGCAGGGGAAGCTGTAAGGGGTCGGTGCATTGTAGAACGAGTTTTGGTTGAAGGTCAGAAACTGGCTCTTGGGACAAGGAATGGGAGGGAAAAACCCAGAGTTTGTGCAGGAAATGGAACGGTACAGACTAGAGAGAGTTGGGCTCACCTGCACACACCACTTGGGCTGTGGAACTTTACTTCTTGAGAAGGGGGGTACTTCCTTGTACTCTGGAGTTGCCCACGGTGAGAGACAGCAGGCTGGTGTGGGCTTGCTGATAGCTCCCCAATTTACCTGCAATGTGTTGGAGTTTTCCCCCAGTGAATGAGAGGATCACTTTCCTGCACCTTCAGGTCGGGGAAAGATCTCTCAGTGTAATTTGTGCCTTTGGGCCAAACATCAATGCAGAGTACCCAACATTCTTGGAGCCCTTGTAAGGGGTGCTGGAAAGAGCTCAGACTGGAGATTACGTTCTTCTACTGGGGGAATTCAATGATTAGTGATTGAGAGAAACAACCTCCCTGATCTGAATCCAAGTGGTGTTCTGTTATTGGACTTCTGTGGTAGTCAATTTGTCCATAACAAACATTGTGTTCAAGCAGTTCTGGCTAAACCACATGCCAGAAGAATTTTCAACTCTAACCTTAGAAAAAACCTTGACCAGATCCCGAGGGGATCTGGAGACATTGAGAGTGAGTGGCCCATGTTCTCTGAATATTGTTGACGTAGCCATGAGGAGCTGTGGCTGTAAAGTCTGTGGTGCCTGTTGTGGCCGCAATTCATGACACCAAAACACCAATTGACACCAAAAGTAAGAGATACTGTCAAACTAAAGGAGTCCTACCAGGCTTGGTTGGCTCATAGTACTCTTGAGGCAGCTGATAAAGCAAAGCTTTTAGAAGCAAAATGTCAGGCTTATAAAGTGTTCAGGGAGACCATGGAGGAAGACTGCCAGCCTCAAAGAGATTCTGGCAAACTATCCAGCAAACCATTCTGGCAAACCTAAGACACCCCAGAAGATGGCTCAACTATAGCTCCATCATGTTTCAAAGTGAAGGAAAGATCTTGATCATAACTTTATGAAATAAAAAGCTGTAAAAATCAAGGAAATCTCTTTCCTGTTGTTTTAAGAACATGGCGAAACGCGACACTCCAACGCAATCTCGCAACAATTTGTAACTTTCGTAATTTAATGGCTAATTCATATTCATTTGTACAATCTCATTCATGTATTTTAGTACGCTTGGCTCATCCTCCAATGAGGGGTATGGTCCTTTTAAAAATCATGTTTCCAAATGAAGGAAATTTTATGAATTCATTTAAAGTAGCCCCTTTTCTGACAATAGGTAATATAGGTAAGTTCCTTGTGGGATCTGGCTGAACAATCCAATGTCATTTTGAATCGATCCATGATTTAAGGTAATCATTACACCCATAATGAGTATGCATAAATGAACTATGTTAATGTTTTTAATTATTTTTAATCAGATGTGGTAAAATAGTGAACATTTACTTTATACTTACTATGATTCATGCTGCATGCCCCTCTCTTTAAACCTGAAATAACATCATAAACGATGAGGTTATTTTGTCTACAGATCTTAAAATTTATTCACCCAATTGCATCACAATTATTACTATGTTATGAAATTCCCACAATATAATATTCCCTCAGTGCATGCAGTAATGAAAATGTAAAGGTTTACTCTTATGTCTTTTGAGCATTGTTTGGCAGATGATCTCTGTTTTGGTCAGGCCAGGTTTTGGATCCATCTTCAGATCATGGCCTCTGTTTTCCTCCACCATCTCCTCAATGATCTCCAGAAGGTTCTGCACCTGTGACTGGTCTCCATTCCTCTGGAGATTATGGTGTGGACATTTGGAGATCTGCAGCAGAGGCTTCTCTGATCTGCTGTCAGTGTCTGTAATGCTCACATACTCCATCTGGGCCTCGAGCATGAAGACCACGATCACATACTCAAATGCTCCAGTGCCAAAAATAGTTGTAATGAGTTGGAGGGTATCTCTGTCCTGCTTTGTAATTGTGCCAGATTTTAGGACCAGTAAGAGGGCGTGAGGTTCAGGACAGGACAGATGGAAAAAATTCTTCAGGTCCTGTTCTTCAGGAGAGACAGGAGGACTAAACAGATCAGGAGTGTTGATGATCACCAAACGCCTTTTTAAAACCATCCCATCATGCCTCTCAAATAAATGCGGTGAAGGCTGCGACTCTGAAAACACCTGTCGACCAAATATGGTGTTTCCACAGGAGGCTTTAACAGCTGCCTCAGAGCCCAGCAGCACGATCCTCAACTCCTCAGACACTGAAACAACAAACATGTTTATTACTGATCATTCATGCAGTTGCTTGTTTTTCCACAATCTGAGTGCTCTAAGACACAAATTCTAATGAGTGAAGCTACACACTTAAAATAAAGGTCCTTTATTGCTAAGGGTGTTTCCATGAAGAACATCTTCTCAAACATTTCATCCAAATAACATGTTTTTGTTTTTTTTTTTTTTTTATTGTACTTAATAATTGTAATTATCTGTTCTTCACACCTCACAAAAATGGTTCTCAAACCCATGAATTCTCACTGGCTGACCAATGAGCATATTTGCTATTGCATGTTTAAAGCAATTCATTTTTATTTTACATTTATATAGCGATTCTCTGGACAATCAAAGGTCTTTACAGATTTTTTTCAACCACCACCAGTGTGTAGCCTACACTTGGAAGATCTGTCAGCCTTCACTAATGTAAAGATAAAGTGCAAATTATTATTAGACAGGAATGCCCTAGTGGCTGTGAATTCTGATGTACATGTGACGTTTCAGAGATTATATTTGTAATAAATTTACAACAATTTTAAAGCTCTTTTTTTCACAATGTCATTATAGGATATAGTGTGTGTAATGTTGAGGTAATAAATTAATTTAATTCATTTAGGAATAAGATTTTAACCAAAAAATGTGGAAAAGGGAAGCACTATCAATACTTTCCAGATGCACTTTCTTCTGGAGAAAGTCTTATTTGTTTTATTTCAGCTAGAATAAAAGCAGTTTTTAATTTTTAAACACCATTTTAAGGTCAAAATTATTAGCCCCTTTAAGCTATATTTTCTGTAATCTACATAGATACATAATCTACAGAACAATCCATCGTTATACAATAACTTGCCTAATTACCCTAACCTGCCTAGTTACCCTAATTACCCTAGTGAAGCCTTTAAGCTGTATAGAAGTGTCTTGAAGAATATCTAGTCTAATATTATTTACTGTCATCATGATATAAAATAAATGAGTTGTTAGAGATGAGTTATTAAAACTATTATGATTAAAAATGTGCTGCAGAACTGAAAATGGGGAAAAAATAAACAGGGAGGGCTAATAAATCCGACTTCAGTATGGTCACACTTTACAATAAGGTTCGTTAGTTAATGTTAAGTAATGCATTTACTAACATGAACAAACAATGAACAATACATTTACTACTGTATTTATTCATGTTTGTAAACATTAGTTAATGAAAATACAGTTGTTCATTGTTAGTTCATGTTAACTCATGGTGCATTAGCTAATTTTTCAGGATTAGTTCATGTTAGTTAATGCATTAACTAATGAACCTTATTGTAAAGTGTTACCATATATATATATATATATATATATATATATATATATATATATTTTTTTTTTTTTTTTTTTTTTTTTTTACTTTTCTCATTATTGTGGTGAGAAAGGAAAAGTATTTGGAACCTTTAATTGGAAGTGTGCATAACTATTGTTAAAATCATTTATAAAAAGAGATCTGCTTTTTTGTTTTTATTTACTTTTGCTAAGTTTTATTTAATTCCGATAGAAATAATTAATTTTGTAATCATTCTATTACAAGACATTTATGAAATTGCAATATGGAAAAGCCATATTCCTACTCTAATAAAAATAGATCTTGCTTGATCATCTGTTTAAAAATATGGATAATAAAAGAAAAATCACTAAATGAATCATGCTTAAATGTTTTTCATATGATTATTCAGACACTGGATCTACAAGCCTCGTCGATATACTTTTATCAGTTTTGCTAAATTATTAATAAAAATGAAAAAACTCACCAGAATGTGCAGATGATAGGCTGCATTCGGCCATCTTTACAAAACATTTAACAAAACATTTAAAATTAAATCATTTCAGCCGAATGATTTTGCTTTGCAGTGTTTGTTAAATGAAAGTGACACTCATTACAGCTCAAACTGGTTGGACTTGAAATGAATGTGCATCTTATACCACTCCCCCGATGAGCTATCAGGACAGACATAATTCAAAAGTACAGTGATTATGCGAATTCCCAATTAGTATTTTGAACCATAGCTGAAAAGTATTTGTGACTGATTTTAGGTGCGAACTCAAAAGCTGCTTACTGTTTTTATATCTTTGACAACCCATTGAGTCAAAACTAGGCTATTTAAGTATTTTACTACTTTTTTTACTGTCCAGTAGCAGTGAAATGAAATGTTATTATAGCAGAATTACCACAGACTCTTGCGTGTCAAATTATGTTACAGAGCTTCAAGCATTCTAAATCAAATGTCATTGTAATACAGTAAATGTCACACTAGGTGGCGCACACAGGCTGCAGTGTGAACTATTAGCATTACATGTAGCAAAAGTCAATTTGCAAGAATATCTCTATTGTACGACTACACTGATCAAGGACTAAATAAACAAAACTACAGATGACCACTTGGACCACAAATCTAGGCATACTAGTAATTATTGGAACTGAAGATTTATAAAACATCTGAAAGCTGAATAAACCGAATCAAATTAAAAAATTCTAAATGAAAATATTGAGAAAAATCGCCTTTACAGTTCTCCAAATGAAGTTCTTAATGGCAGGACATTTACAAAATATCTTCATGAAACACAATCTTTACTCATTTGTTTGTTTTCTTTTAGACCTTTATTTATTTGGGGTCACCACAGTGGAATGAACCACCTACTATTCCAGCATATGTTTTACACAGCGGATGTCCTTCCAGCCACAACCCAGTGCTTAGAAAAATCTATACACTCTTACATGTACACACACACACACACACACACACACACACACACACACACACACACAAAATCTTTCTCTCTCTGTCTCTCTCTCTCTCTCTCTCTCTCTCTCTCTCTAAAATATAATCGTTGAACATGAGACTGGTATTGTAGTTCATGGTCACATCCATTAAGGTTTTTGAGTCATTCATTCATCATGTGAAAGCATGTAAAGCAGGGGTGTCCAAACTCGGTTCTGGAGGGCCGGTGTCCTGCAAATTTTAGCTCCAACACCTGGATGCTTCTAGACTGACTAGTAAGAGCTTGTTTAGCTAGGCCAGCTGTGTCTGATTGGGGTTGGAACTAAACTTTGCAGGACACCAGCCCTCCAGGACCGAGCCTGGACATCCCTGTACTAGGCAGTGTAGAAACATCCTTGTAGGTGTGTTGAAGCAAGTTGGAGCAAAAATCTGCAGGACACCGACCCTCCAGGACCCAGTTTGGACACCCCTGATGTAAAGGGATGACTCAAACCTGAGGCCTCAGGAAATTAACGGATCAAATCTTTTCACGGCTCTGACTGCATATGATTGGCTTCTGTCTTTCATGTAATGGATGAATAACTCAAAGTGTCAAACTCAAAAGAAAGAAACTAATCTTTTACTGCACCATACATGAATGAACCAATCACACTCTGAGAGGACTCATGCTCTGGAGTCCCATAAAAGATTTGTTAAAAATAAATGAATCATTCAAGAAGGATCCCCTCACTACTTTTGGTTGAATGGGCTGATGTTTTCAAATCACAAACTCTCAAATGACTTTTCTAAGTAGTTAAAATTATGACAAGCAAGAAGGTTGCTGGTTCGAACCTCGGCTGGGTCAGTTGGCGCTTCTGTGTGGAGTTTGCATGTTCTCCCTGCGTTCGTGTGGGTTTCCTCTTTGTGCTCTGGTTTCCCCCACAATCCAAGGACATGTGGCACAGGTGAACTGGTTATGCTAAATTGTCCGTAGTGTATGTGTGTGAATGAGTGTGTATGGATGTTTCCCAGTGATGGGTTGCAGCTGGAAGAGCATCCGCTGCGTAAAACATGTGCTGGATAAGTTGGCGGTTCATTCCACTGTGGCAACCCTGGATTAATAAAGAGACTAAGCCGAAAAGAAAATGAATGAATGAAGTAGTTAAAATATTTTTACTTGAGTTAATTTTTGTGCTGTATCTGTACCTTTACTGCAATGTGAGGTCACTGCTTTCTTTTCTTGACCACAGTGGTATTGGCTAAGCAGAATAAACTGTCCCATCATTCTCATCCATCATCAAATCAAATCACACTAACCAGAAGACAGTTTTCAAATGTAGCAAACATGTACAGTGTGAAGCATTAAAAGTGGCCAAGATGACACAAAATCATCACATTCTGTTTAGATGTAGACGTTGACTGTATGAGGACTGAAATCCCAGAATGGCCTAAATCAATAAATGCCAAACAGCCGTGGTCCACAACCTTTTAATCACCGTGGGCCTAAGAAATGCCATGTTATTACAGCACAAACCATCACTGATCCATTCCCATGCTTCACTCTGGGCATGCAGTAGTCTGGGTGGTATGCTTCTTAGGGGCTTCTCTACACCATAACTCTCCTGGATGTGGGTAAGTCGGTGAAGGTGGACTCATCAGAGAACAATACATGTTTCAGATTATTCACAGCCCAAAATCTTTCACTGCTGGCTCCACTGAAAGCATTTGGCATTGACATCAGTGACCAAAGGTTTGGCTATAGCAGAAGGCCTTATATATTGAACAGGAGAGTTAAGAAGCACATTTAATTCTGCAGTGAGTTGGGCATCTGAAAAACGGTGCCCACTGACAGTATAGTGTCCCCTTCACTATACTTGGGCATTAGGACTCTCACAGACCACAGGTTGAGTGTCCCCTGCTGGTCTCACTAACACCACTTCCAACAGCAACTTAGTTTTAATATGTGGTCTCCCATCCAGGTACTGACCAGGCTCAGCCCTGCTTAGCTTCAGTGAGTAACCGATCTTGAGCTGCAGGGTGACATGGCTATGGCAGTTGAGCATGACCATTTCTTCTTTGGCCAAACTTCTTGTGCAGAGCTGCAGTCTAGGCACTAAAGCTGAAGAACCCTGGACATCCATCATGGAGAAGCTGCAGGCGTGAGTAGGTCAACTGAGTGCACAGTCTGGGCCACGAGATCAATGCGGACTTGTCTGTCACTGGGGTCTTTCAGGAATCAGTCTCATTCTCTGTACTCCAAGACCACCACAGCATCTGCTCAGGATACGACCTGGTCCAGGATTACGGACACCTCTAGAAGTCCTCTGTGGTTGGCATCATCTCTTCACAGAACTTGGATTACATCAATGGTGCTGCATGATCTCTAGAGGTCTTGGGCTGAGTTTCCTCAGGTGGAAATAGAGAAGATAAGATGACAGAAGTCTAAGAAAAGACTGAGTGAGTAGTCTAACAAGAAGTCTAAGAGATGTCTAAAAGAAGTCTGAGCAAGTAGACTAAAAAGAAGTCTAAAACTTGGCTCACACTGTGATTTTCAATAATCCTAAATGATTGTTGAAAGTCAAACTGCATGAACATGTCTCCCATGACACACAGCTGTCATAATGTCAGACTGAATGACAATAAAAACACACCAAAGGAGGAAGAAAACTCTCCTGGAGATTGATGTCATCCATCCATGACACTTTCACTATTCTGCGTTCTGAAATGATATCTCACAGCAAACATAAACAATGTGTAGCTGCACACCGTGTACCTCAGTAATAAAACCAGGTAGAAAAAAAACAAAAAAGTTTGAACAGGTTTAAAGTTGTTGCACAGATTGCATCATCAGATTCAATATCCCTATAGGCTCTTGGTTTGATGCTGATCATATCTGCTGTTGCAGTGCAGGAAAGTGTCTGAAACACTACCAGAACTTCATTTGAGGGAAAATCTGATCACAATCCCGATTAAATGGCTGTCTATGAACAAACCAATGATCACAGATTTTAGTCTAGGATTTCAAAAATCTTTTAGGACTTTCAAAATGTGTGACAGATGGCCAAATTATGGCTGAAATCCAACAGTTTGAGCAGAAGTCTGAGCCAAAGTCCTAGAGAAGTTTATCAAGAGCAGTGTTACCCTGTGTATTATGTATATTTTAGAGGATTGAGATACATAGAGGTGGAGACAAATCTAAACAAAGCAGGCAAATAAAGTACCGGAATCAGCCTGGCAATGGAACCTTCCTTGTTCTGATCTCAGCAGCATAACAATACCAATTTAAATGCAGAGGTTCTGCTAATCCAACCAACCTGGCATTATTGCCCTAAACTTCATAGAAACAACGGCACAGACATTTGGACCATGCTGATGGTCCGGAAGAACATGAAGACAAGAGTTTAATGTCTTAGACACTTGGTCTGTTAGACTCAATCTTTACTTAGAATGTCATCATAATTACCTCAAAATGTAAAATACCATTACTTTTTAGTTAAACATTTAAATTGAAACTTTTGATTCCACAACATACACAGGTTACAAAAAAACACTGGGGCAAATCCCAAAATAGTCTACCAAAGCATTTTATTCAAAAGCAACTTTCATTAGTTTTTGGAAGTATACAGATTAGAAGTAGGGGTGTTAAGAGTTTTTAATTATTTTATTAAAATATATTAATCACTGTGTAGTATATGTATTATGGTATTGTCTAGTGCAGGTGTGGGCAAACCTGATCCTGGAGGGCCGGTGTCCTGCATAGTTTAGCTCTAACCCTATTCAAACAGACCTCCCTATAGAGTTCAAGTGATCTTAAAGACACTGATTAGTTTGTTCAGGTGTGTTTGACTAGTGTTGGAACAAAACTCTGCAGGGACACCGGCCCTCGAGGATCAAGTTTGCCCATTCCTGGTCTAGTATATCAGATGTGATTTTTGTTGATTTGTATAAATACAGCAGCATGTCTCCAACTAATATCCCGTTTATAAAGGAAGGACAGTCAGATGAGGAGATATTTTAAGCAGCACAAAACAGAAATCTGATTTGACATTAGTAATAGAAAGCAGTAGCTATAAACAGAAAAGGTGACCATCACAGAATGTTACAGCTGGATTTATTCTTCATTCTCTCCACTTCTTGTAGTAGGTCTTTGATTTCCTCTTCTTTCTGTTCTTGCAGGTGTTGATAAATCTTCTCCAGTATCTGATGTTGTTTCTGACGTTCTTCCAGCATCTGCTGAAGCTCCTGAATGAGCTGCTCTTTTTTCTCTCTGAAATCATTCAGTTCTTCTGCTTGTTTTCTGGCCTCAACTTCATGTTTCTTCTTTATCTGTTTTATTTCTTCTTCATGTTTCTGTTTCATTTCATCTCTCTCTTTCTCTTCTCTCTTTTGTCTTACTTTCTCTTCTGCTTCTCTCCTACCTTTCTCCTCTTCCTGCTCTCGTTTCAGATCTTCAATCATTTTCTTCCATCTCCTTCTCTCGTCTTCTCGTCTCTCTTCATCTTCTTCTTTTCTTCTCTCCCACTCCTTTTTTCTCTCTCGTTCCAGTCGTTCATAATGTCTCTTTGTCTCCTGTCTCTTTTCCTCATAATCTCTCTCCTTTTCTTCTCTTTCTCTTCTCTGTTTCTGTCTCTCTTCCTCCATCTTCTGTCGTTCTTCTTCTCTTTCTCTTTCAAATCTCTTTCTCATTTTCTCCAGTTCTTCTTGTTTTTCTCTCAGTTGTTCTTCGTGTTTCTCTTTTCTTTTTCTTTCTTCTTCCTCTCGTTCTCTCAACCTCCGTCTTTTCTCATCCTCCCATTCTCTCTGCTGTCGTTTAATTTCCTCTAGAATCTCTTTTCTGTCATTTTCAGCTTCTTTTATTCTTCTTTCCCATCTCTGTCTTTCCTCCTCTTCTTCCTTGTTCCTCTTTTGATTATCATAGTATTTCTTCTTTATTTCCTCCTCTTGTTTTCTCTGTACCTCTGCTATAATTCTCTCTTGTTCATTTCTCATCTTTTCTTGGTCTTGTCTGTATTTTTCTTCTCTCTTTCTGTCTTGTTCTTCTCTTTCTTTCTGCTGTTGTTCATACTGTGATCTCTGATTGTCGATCTCTCTCATCATTTCTTCTATTCTCTGATGATATTCAGCTCTCTGCTGTTTTTCCTCTTCTGACCGTTTCTGGTGTTGAATCTCTTGCTTGATCTGATCTGCTTTCTCCTTCTCTTCAAACTCTTTCTTTAGTTTTTCCTCTTTTTCTCTGAATTTATTCTCGATTTTCAATTTCTCCTCTTCTGCTCTTTGTTTCTCCTCCTCAAGTCTTTTCATCACATTGTTCATTTCAATTTCATATTTGGCCTTTAAAGCCTCATTTTGAGCTTGCATCTCTCTTTCTCTCTCCTTCATAATTTCCTCCATCCTCTTCTTAATGGACATCTCTGCTTCCTCAAACATGCTGTTAGTGAAGTATCCACCCTGATTATTACTCTTCACCTCTTCTATCATCTTTAACAGCTTCATCACTTGAGTTTTGTCTTGTTTTTCTCTGTTATTGAAAGCCAGGAATCTGTTTTCACAATCTCTGATCAGTTTTTGGAGTTCTGCACAGTTATATTTACTCACATAATCATTTATAGACTCATTCAGATCATCTCCTCTGGTAAACAGAACGATGCTGAACTGAGCAGATTTTGTACCAAATATCTTCTTGATCAGATCGATAGTGTCTGTCTCCTCTTTGGTGAATCTTCCCAAACTCAACACAATGACAAACACATGAGGTCCAGGAGCTGACAGTGAAACACACTTCACTATTTCTTCCACCACTTGATCATTTGTCAGTGTTGTGTCGAAGAGCCCTGGAGTATCAACAACAGCTACTGATCGACCATCAACTTCTCCAACTCCTTTCTCGCAGACATTCGTCACTGAATCTGGCCTTAACTGGCTGCAAAACTCCTCTCTTCCAAGAATAGTGTTTCCTGTTGCGCTCTTTCCACTTCCAGTTCTTCCAATTAGCACAATCCTCAGACATTCATGACTGTCGGTTTCATCTTCAGAACCTGATAAAAATCATGCATTAACATTTGGTTAGAATTTTAAATAGAACATTTTAAAAAGGCTCACATCTATTCTGCGGCACATTATAAAAAACTCAAATCAGATAAAAAAGGACATGGGATATTCAAAAGATTTAAAAAAAAATAGAGCTCACTTTCATATTTATCCTAGGTATTCGTGTTAATCTGACATATGGTGGTTATTTTTTTATCTGACAAACCTTAATTTACTGACAAAAGTTGTTCATTGCAAATATGGGATTTCTAAAATACTGCATCTTTGTAATGTCCCTAAATCATTCAAATCATGCAGTAGTTTGAACTTTTAAACAGCGATATATAATAGTGAATGCAAATGAACATCAGAAAGTCCTTTGGCAACATGTTCCTTCACTGTACTTATCATTCTATGAACCTGCAGCATTAAGTGAAGTTTATTCATAAACTAATTTCGAGAGGATCACGTGCTTATGATTTATCACGTCCAGTCTCGCATTTGCTAATCACTAATCTTCCAATCATATGAGCCCTAAGGCACCATAAATAGTCTAAGTTTCCAGTTCACTTTATCTTCGTTTGGAAGAAGCAGCTTCACCGTAGCTAGCTCCGTTGAAGAACCAACTCTAAACCAGCATGGACAACTAAAGCAGCAACAAGCTACAATCTTCAGGATCTTCATTTGGAAGAACGCTCTGCTCTGCTCATCAACTACAAAAGCTACAAGTGCTACAAGCTACAAAAGCTTCAAGCTACAATCTACAATATACAATCTAAAAGCTTCAATCTACAAGCTACAATATACAAGCTACAGCAACAACAACAACTACTATTGCTACCATTTCAAACAACTACAACTCCAACAATTTCATCAACAGCTTAAACAACAACACCAAAACCTTCCACTTCAAAGAGCCTCCACAACGCATCTGCTGTGTCTGCAACCTTATTTCCCAGCAAGATATAAGCCAAACTCCAAAGCTATTGCAATAAAACGGAACCCTCACCTTCTCCTAGCAGTACACATGCTATCCATCGTTTAACAGATTGTTTGCTGGAATGTGTTCAGCAGAGCAGCAGCTCCAGCCACAAACAATGTTGAATTTGATCAACAAAATGGCCGCCAGGCTTTTTGCACCTTTTGCATGGCCTGACTGAAACTCCTTAAGCCAATAGCTGTAAAGATAAGCGTCTCCATCCAATGAGCTAAAAGACTGGAGATGGTCCCGCCCTCTCTCTTGACTCTGTTGCAAAGACCTTATGAATGAATAGGCCAGACACGCTTGTAAATTTAGTTAAAAAAAAAAAAAAAAAAAAATTCCATTTGACATTTAACTTCTGAAAAGATTATTACCCAACCAGTAAATATTAACAAGCTATTGAAAAACATTATGCCATCAAGCACAGAAGTCCAATTGTAATACGCCAGCGACTCATGTGTTGATTTACAAGCGTCATATAAGATTATATAGCAAGTCAGTCGGATGTGAAAACGGCAAAGAAACAAACTTCCCACTTGACTGTTATAAATACAAATTTAAACTTCACTATCACTTCACATGCTCAGTCTTCAAGGGGTACCAGTTTTCCAGGACCACCAGACTAGCCATATCCCATGTCCTCAGCTCTCCATTCATCTGTCATCCCGTTAGGAGACGAACACCCACCCCTACCATCCTTGCACATCGTATCAATGAAGTCATCGGACCATGCATTATCAAAAGCGCTTCCATTTACAGCCGCCCATGCCCTTATTAAGATGCCTCGCATGGATATAAACTAAAACAATTTTCATGTCTGCCATACTTGTATTATTTTGCAAAGATTTAATTTCTGATTCTCTTTGTTTTTTCTATTTTAGAGATCATGACTGCTGGCTCCAGAAGCTGACCCTCATCCAACCTATTACACTCCACATCCTCTTCACAAAGGATACATTCCATTTTTCACTTTATCCAATCTGTCCTAACCTGCAGTCTGCAACCTCCGAACCTGAAACCGTCGATTATCTTATTAAAAAGAAATCGACAACAACTTCATGATTGGAACTCCAAGGCTCCTCCTTTTAATATCTCGCGCATTAGCCCCATTGGTGTCGCTACTCAAAAATGTTCTGGCAAAAACGCCTCGTAGTCGACCTTTCGTCCCAACACAATTGCTCCTTTCCTAGCATTAACAGCACTATTCCATTGGACGAATATTTACTTAACTACCACGACATTGATCAAGAGATCTCTCTCATAAAGATAGCCAGTCGTAACACCTGGCTAGCCAAAGAAGACATTTCCCCTACCTTTAAAATCATGCCAATCCACCCAGACTTCTGGCACCTTTTGGCATTTATTGGCGAAATCAATTCTATTTTTCGGATGCAAAAGCAGCCCAAAAAAAAAAAATATTTGACATAATGTCAGAAGCTTTATGCTGGATTCTGTCTAATATTTACGAAATACCATACCTCATTCACCTTCTAGACGATTTTCTTATTTCCCCCCCGTCATCTCCTCCAGCCAAACACCTAGCGATCACCCAGCAGGTTTTCGCTGATCTCGGAAGGACCCAGTACTTCAATCGAATTTCTGGGTATTAATCTAGACTCGCATAAATTCCAAGCATCCCTTCCTAAAGAGAAAATCAATCGAATAATTTCTCTATCCCAAATTTTCCTTGAAAAACAGATGTGCACACAACGAGAACTCCTACCAATTCTCGGCCATCTAAATTTCGCTATGCGCATTATTCCTTTCATTTCCCACCTCCATCAATTATCCACCACAGTTCATGGTTTAGAAGAAACAATTTTTCTCTCCAAACCCAGTCGCGATGAACTTTGCTTATGGATCTATTTCCTTAAGCAATGGAACGGCTGTTTCTTTTTTCTACAGCGACTTGATTGCATCCCCTATTGACATCAACACATACACAGACGCTGCCCCCCCAATAGGTTACAGTGGCTAATATAAAGGACACTGGTTTGTCTCAACATGGCCAACCCAATTGTAATTCCATTCCAAAGACCAATGTTTTTCAGCCCTCTTCAAATTCTACCCTATCATCGCAGCAGCCATCCTGTGGGGGGACGAATGGTCTACATCTAGCATTCTCTTTCACTGCGATAACGAAGCTACAGTGCATTGCATTAACAAAGGACGCTCCCACTCCCAATCGCTTATGCCATTTTTAAGACACCTTATCTGGATATCTGCTAAAAAAACAATTTATCATGATTGCTGAACATGTACCTGGTTGCAAAAACCAAATCGCTGACTCTCTCTCTCTCATTTCTCTTTGCAGATATTCTGGCAACTAGCCCCGGAAGCAGACCCTCACCCAACGCCGGTCCCTCCTTATTCAGTAACGATATTTCCATAAACCACCCACTTCATAATCTTCATCAAACTTCTCTATCTCTTATCCTACAAGCAATAG